AATAAATAAATTGCAATTTAGGGAGATATATAATATTGAGCCAGAGAGCTCTAGTGCATCTGATAAAACTACACACTCCAAAATCTTTTTGGATCTGTCCACAGCAGTTAAAGTGGAATCATAATTCTGTAGTGTGAAAGGATCCTTAGAGTGGGTGATAATTATAAAACTCCTCTCTTTATTGGCTCTGTGTGAATTGGGAAGTATTCTGGAACATGGCTATACAGCCCGGAAAACTCACAGCAACCTAGTGATTCTGACCATGAAAGCTTTTGACAACTTCTGTGAATTGTTTGTTGTTCAAGTTATTTCAGATTTGTGGCAACCTGTATGGATGTATGCATTCCTCACCTTTCTCCTTGCCCAAAACTCAAGATAGCATCTTCAGGAAAATCTGTCATGAGATTTTTTTGCAAGATTTGTTCTGAGGGATTTAGCTATTGCAATTTTCATCTAGGCATGAGAGAAAGTGGCTTGTCAGATATCCTTATTGAACCTGAAGCCAGAAATGGCTACTTATAGTAAGATACACTATGATTAGTATTTTTGAATAGGATCCATATCAGTGACAAGGAAATAAATAAGCAGGACAAGCATGGCCCAAAGAAGGCAATGGCCTCTTTAAAGTTACCTTAATCACAATTAGATAAATCACCAATCTAGGGAATGGAAGACATTCTTCATAGAAAAACTATGAGGCTTAATATGGAAAGTAGTGTTAAAGATGAGTCACAACCACTATTATTGTTGTAGCTGTTCTTCCCAGTTCTTCAAACTGGAGCTGAAATTATTAAGACTAATGTGTTACTAATAATGGTTTTATGCTATTTGTGTAGTCTTATTGGTTACAGACTTCATGTTTATATTGAATTTTATTTATTTAATAGTAACATTGGTTAGTGGGTTGGATCCAGATTTAGTTATATTTACAAGAGATTAATCACATTCCACAGAAGCCGTCAGTCAAACGCAGTTGATTGCAGTGGGTATTCTTTGTATCTGAATCCAACTCACTGTAAATAAATGAATAAATGAAACCAGATGAAGATGTTATCTTCAGTGTTTCTTCACTTATCACGGGTGTTACGTTCCAGGATCTCTCGTGATAAATGAAAATCCGCAAAGTAGGGACGCTCCACCCACTCCTCTCTCCCCCTCTCCTCTCTCTCTCTCACTCACTCACTCACTCAATCCTTTCACCTTCTCTTTCCTCTCCTCTTTCCCATTCGGTTCCTCCCTCCCTCCTCCCTCCCCTTGCACACCACACTTCCTGATGGCTCCTCCTCATGTGCCTGGCTCCCCCTCTCCTCCTCCTCATCCTCTTCCCCCTCCTCCCTCCCCGCTCAAACATGCCTTCTGCATCTTCCTCTCCTCCTTCTCCTCTTCCTCCTCCTCCCCCCCCCCCCCCCCCCCCCCCCCCGTGGCTCCCCCCCCACACACACACACACCTCCCTGTCAGTGTGGTGGCTGTCAGGGAAGGAAGAAAGGAAAGAAGGAAAGAAAGAAAGCCCTCCTGGCCTTTCTCTTCACCAGTGAAGAGAGAGAGAGCAAAGGAAAGAAAGGAAAGGCACTTCAAGGCTGGAGGGAGAGAAAACTGAGGAGGGAAAATCCATGAATCAGCGAGTTTGAGAAAAGCAAACCATGAAGTAGCAAGGGAACACTGTATTAACCTGGTTCCAGGAGACATAAGCTATCTTTCCCTTCTCTTTTTTCTCAGGCAAACCACAAAACTGTTAGGGATGCATATAGAGAAAAATCATTAAGCCATCATGAGACCCTTCAGTTGTTGTGAGACAGAAATTTGCAGCATCCCTAACTAGCATGGTTAGCAGTGAAGAATGCTAAGAGTTGAAGTTCAACAGCATCTGAAGAGCTACATGAGTTCCACCTTTGCTTTGGTCCCTTCAGTGATTTTTTTCTAGTTTACATTCCTGTCAAACACCAAAAAAGGTCATAAGTTTCTTTTTCAAAAGCTTTTCAGCAGGGAAGAAATGTGAACAGCAATTTTTTCACTTCCTCAAAAACTGCTGACAACCATATTCCATATGATAAGTGGTCTTCAGATGGTGATTCAAATGCTGTTCCTGTAAAAAGTAAGAAAATAGAGATGGGGAAAGTTCAGCAGGATATGCTAACAGCCAACCTCTCATGCTTCACTCTGCATGAGCTCAGTCAATATATGCAGAGACGAGGAGAGGAATTTCAATGGTTGCCTATCCCTCCAAGGCTATATGCTGGAACTGTACTATGGTGTCTACATAGGATGGAAGAGCAAGGTGCCAAGCTGCAAGGATGCTGAGTTGACTTTAGGGATCAGATATTTGTGGAATTGGGGGGGGGGGGAGGCTGCTAATTGTCACTTACTGGTCCTTTCCTTTCTCAGAATATTGAGGGGCAGCTGGTGTAAATCTGCTGGTGTAAATCTGGTGTAAAAAGCACTATTCCCTCGTAGCAACACTTTCCCCATCACACGGGGAAAGCGTCGCCAGGTGGGACACGAGTGTACTGGCTCCATTGGAGCCAGCACAACACAGGAAACCTCCCGTGTTGAGAGAGAAGAGTCAAACAGTGCTTTCATCCAAGTTGGAGGAGGAGGGGATAAAATGTTGAAAGGGGAAATGAGAAGACAGCTAACTTGGAATCACCTTCAAAGAACATGTTCAAGTCAGGAAAATATACTGATGCTGCACATCGCAATCACATGTAGACAAAATAGGTTGATGCTGTTGCACTCAGCATCCATCTCCTAAAGGCATTTGACCAAACTATATCTGCACACTCCATCATGCTTTGTTAAAACTGGATGGCCCAAATCAGTTGGTAGCCCTGTTAACTGATCATTCTTTACTAACCACAGAAGACTACAGATTTATTTTTTCAGAAGAATATAATATTTCCGATGTCTCCAATATTTTCAGACATTTTTGTCATCCACAATATCATTTCCCACAATATATGAGTACTGCAGATCTAGAATGGAACAAAACCTCAGAGCTGAGGATAAAAGCAACAGATAAAGAAAATACTGTAACCACTAAAATGCTTCCTTAAAACTAAATGAAACTAAAGTTGTGGGTTTTTTTCATTTCTTTGATTTCAAGTTTAGTGAGTCCATTCAGAGCCATTTCATAAGAGCAGCCTCCAATAATAGGCATGTGTGATCGATTAAAAAAGGTTGCAAAAGTCATTACAAAATTAGGGGGTGCTAGAATTTTGTTTCTAAAGAATTACTAAATTATAGTTAGCAAAACTTTTGTTACTTTTTATAGTAATTGCACAAGTGGGGAAACCTCAGAGGCTCATTTCCCCCCTCGTTTTTACAGTTATCGGGATGAAACTTGCTACAGTGATAGAACACATTTACCACTGTTAGTCCATCAAGTTTCATGTCATTTCACTTATCCATGGATTTTTGGGGAATTTTCAACCTTTTTGTAAACAACTTTTTATATTAAAAAATGCAAGAGCTCTCTTCTTGAATTTTCTATACAATGACACAAGATAACAGGGGATCATTTTCCCCAATTTTCAGAAATATTCATATATTTACTGATTTTAGGGATTTTTAAAAAGGTTTTGACAAATTTAGAGGTGTAGTTTTATCAGAAGCACTAGCGCTCTCTGCCTCAATCTCTCCCCAAAATTTGACAAACTTTTTTAAAAGCCGCAACATCTATCTCATTGAATGTCTCTCATATTAACCAATATAACTTCCATTTAGATATTGCTTTCCAACCCAGCATAGAGATTTACTTACTAGAAGTATCAGTCAGTCCTCCTCTTTGCAGATTCAACAATTTATTGGAACTCTGGGCCTTTCCAGGAGGGCTTTATCACAGAAGCAACTGCATTTTAAAAACGCGGATGTTCCTGGGGTCCTGTCCACACACACCCCAGAAAGCGTGTGCTTTCTGAGGTGGGTGTCCAGATGTTCTTCCAGGACTGGCCCAGGAGAACACCTGAAGACTCTACCCCCTTCCCAAAAGCCCTAAACCACCTTTTAAAAATAAAAGTATTTACCAGCCTCCATTGGAGAGCTGTGGCAGCTCTCCAGGTGCATAGATATGACATGCCAGGAGAAATATTTTCTCCCCCCACCTCCCTTTTCTCCTGGCACGTCATTCCTACCACAGCTCTCCAATGGAGCAGCCACAGCTCTCCAATGATAGTGCCCCCCTCCCCTTTCTTGGCTAGCTGAGATACTTTCTGCCAGAAAATGTGGTCTAAGCAGAGATTGGCAACAGCCTGACATGAGGGCCTGTACTAGCTTCTTACAGCATCTCAAAGGTCCGGTTATTTATTTATTTATTTACTTAAAATAAATAATTTACTTATTTATATTTACTTATTTATTTATTTACTTTACTTATATACCACTGTTCTCAGCCCGAAGGCGACTCACAGCGGGTATACCCACACAGACACCAATGTGTGTGTTTACTTTTCTTTGGTTGGAGAAAGGACTTATCCTGGACCAGAAGCAGCTGTGAGGGAGCAAAAACACAAACTTTGTTTCTACTGGGGATCATGGTCTTTGGCCATACACAGCTTACAGTCTAAACTTTGCCAACATCTGCAAAATGAAGTATTCTTGTTAGTTGCTTTCAAGGTTGCAAACATGCACTGTTTTGATTCCAAGTTTCCTCGTGTGGCAATGTAACAGTTAAGGAAGCAAACAAGCTTTTGACTTTGGGATACTAGAAACAATAAAGATACAAGACTGACATAAGGCATTCTTGTGCTCCCGGTGGCCATATACGATTGTTTAGCCGTCTGCCACCCTCACACTTTGTGGGAATTACATTTTGATGAAATGTCACATGTCTGCAGGCTCAACTGTGTATGGTGGCTTGCCACTGATGGGAGATTTACATTGGATGGGCCTCTGATTCTCTTGGGTATTTTAACATGCCATCATTTCCAGTTGACAGTGAGATTTTGCCTGAAATCAAAAATTATATTCCTCACTTTTTAATCAAACATTATCTTTTTTTTCTTAGGTCATTGATATTAAAGAAAAACTGAAGCTTTCAAAAAAGTTCTGGTCAGCATTGCCGTACACCATCTGCAAGGAGGAAAGAGTGACAGCCGGCCTGTCAATGGAGGAGGACTGCTGGAATGGGCATACCAAAGCAAAGTAAGGGGTAGAAAAATAACAATTAATGTTTGCATGTGAAATTTCCTTGAAATACTGCAATAGTTAGTAGCTTTCACTTTGTGAAGCTATGCTTTGAAGCACAAGGTTGCATGTACATAGGGGATGGTGCTTGCTCAAGGACAGCTCAAACACACTGGCCTCAAAGAACTGGCAAGAATGCAGAAAATTGCTACTGTTGATTCTAAAGAAGTACAATTGCAGACAAAAAAGTGTTTAGAGAATCAGTATTCAGAAAAGACTTTTGTCTGGTACCATTAAACCGTTGACCATGTGAAGAAAGAAATCTGTATCAAGCTTTTCAGTCTCTGTGTAATTTTTTGTGTTCAAATTTTTAATTTTCTTGTATTCAAGTGACAAACAAAAACAAAAATTATGATTAGTGAAACAGATACATTACAACATCCTGACAAACCCTTTCCCTCCTTCCTCTCACCTGTGAACCCACCACTTATGACTTCCATTGCTATTCCCTGTGAGTCTTATACCTAATAAAGCCTACCCTTATAACTGTAGCTATTTTAGAATCTACATTTGTCTTTCTTTCCAGATAGTCAAGTGCCAGGATTAGAGAAAATGTTATGAGACTATATTCAAATGGCCAAGCTATCTAATGGTATTTGGGGAGGAAATAATGAAGCATCTCTGTGTAATTTTGAAAGACTGTTGGTAAACGAAGAGCTTGAAATGTAATGTCAGGATAACATAATAAGAAAGACATCACAATGAATCAAAATAGAACTTTAAAACTGACCAAAGAAATAACCACCACCATGTTAATATATAATTAAGAAAATATTTTCAGAGCCCAAGCAATAAAGTGTGCCTGTTCAAGATGTGTCAGTTCAAAAGCCACTGAAAACAGGTTTTCAAGGGGCACCAAGACGTTCCTTAAGAGGGCCTTCCATAAGGTAGAAAGCAATACAAAGAAGATCCTCCCCTACTGCCGATGAATCTAAAGGTGCAGCAATGAGTGCAACTCAATGTGGTATTCCATAGTTATGTCTTGATCCACAAACTATCCATGCTGGTCCCTGGAGAGCTTCCAAAGCAGAAGGGAAATAATACTTGTAGCCGATGGAGCCATCGAGGTTGCCTGTCACCACCCTGGCTGCTGGGCCCTGGCGCTTAAATTCATCTGGGCCATCTTTGGGCGGTCCGCTGCTAAGGCCCTTCTCCTCCGTACAGGGCCAGTGCTAGAGCTACTTTTTTCGGAGGACGACAAGAAGAAGAACTAGGGACTCGGCCCAAGGGCGCCGGTTTGTACTCCACGGGTCCAGGGAGCTGGGTCCTTTGGTCCTGAAACTGTCGTCCTGTCTGATTACTGACACCGGACTCAAATTAGAAGGCACTAATTTTGTACTTTAGCACTACTACTAGCACTAAGCCACTTTAAATCTGGCTAGTTGGGAATGATCAACCCCTTTTAGACAACAAATAGTACTCCCAGCCGTGGGCAATTGACCATCTTGCCTAGAGTGGGCATTCCCCCGCCATTATATGAGATTGCCATCATATGAGATTTCCACCTCTCATTGTTAATTATTAATCCGGAAGACTGTATTGACCATCCTTGGGCCCGATTATTGTGGTATTTGTTGGTTCCCATTTTTGATAGAACTTGACAGACTGTGTTGTCCATGCCTTAATTCCTCCTGTGTTGTCCCTTCGAGTATGTTACCAGCCACAGATTGCACGGATTATTCTGCTGTGTTAATTTCTTCTAATTCCTGTGAACTGTTGCTAAGTGCGCAGGTTATTCTCATTGCACTAATAATAATCACCTATATTAGTGGCTGGAGAAGATTTTAAGAACTAACAGTGCTACGGCTGACGAGCACTTTAGCGCCTATTTGTTTAGCACTTTAATTGCAGTATCTGTGATCATTATTATCATTCTTGTGATATTGAATTAACAACCTGCGAGCTTTAGCACTTTATTTTGATTTAATGTATCAGTTAGCATCGAATTGAGGCCCTCCATGACGCACTTTATTCTAGCATTTTAGAGCGGATTGAGAAATAATTGCACTTTAACTACCTATTCCATCTTGCATGATCTATTGTATTTATAAATTTCAGGAATACTCTCCCGATAGGCCTTAATATCTACCACTTATGTCATCACCCTTCTCCCGGTATTTGTTAACCCTGCTGCTGATTGTGTATGTTGGAGAGAGGGAACGGAGTAGGCCAACGGAATTTGGGCATTATAATACGGGTGTAGATAATGGATGGAGGACAGATTTATGGTACTCTGTAACTACAATATGTCAAACAGCTAATAATGCATTCCTTGTTGATACGTTGGCTGCTCATTGCGTCATGGAGGAGGGAGGGGGTTCCGTTAACCGGGGAGCCCCCATAGAAGTCGTGGTGGGGAGAGGGAGATACGGGAAAGGGAGACCTCCAATTCGGCCTAGGGAATGGGGAACAACTTTAGTAATTCCTAATCGGTCTCCTGATATGGTAAGTTGGTGTAACCAGGATGGCGGTCCCTCCGGATTGAAAGTTGTGCTGTTGAACGCCAGATCTGTCAACGGTAAAACAACCTTCATTCAGGACATAATCCTGGATGAACGGGCAGATCTGGCGTGCATCACAGAGACCTGGCTGGACGAAGCGGGAGGTGTAAATTTAACCCAGCTTTGCCCACCAGGTTTCTCTGTGCAGCACCAACCGAGATCCGGAGGGCGGGGAGGCGGGGTTGCAGTGGTCTATAGAGATACCATTCTTCTGACCAGGGCCCCCATCCCACAGTCAACAAAATTTGAATGCGTCCACCTGAGGGTGGGAGACCGGGACAGATTAGGGATTCTGTTAGTGTACCGGCCACCTCGCTGCACTACAGACTCCCTGACTGAGCTAGCGGGGGTGGTCTCGGACCTGGTGTTGGAGTCCCAACGGCTGTTAGTGCTGGGGGACTTCAACATCCACGCCGAGTCCGCCTCATCGGGAGCGGCTCAGGACTTCATGTCTACCATGGCAACCATGGGGCTGTCCCAACAAGTATCTGGCCCCACCCACAGTGCTGGACATACATTGGACTTGGTTTTCTGTCAGGGATGGGAGGAAGGTGGCGGTGTTGAGGAGTTATCCATCTCTCCGTTGCCATGGACCGACCACCACCTGGTCAGTTTAGACTTACTGCACCCCCAACCTCTGCAGAGGTGGAGGACCCATTAAGTTGGTCCGCCCTAGGAGGCTTATGGATCCGGATGGATTCCTGACGGCTCTTGGGGAATTTCCCGCCACCTCGGTTGGTGATCCTGTTGATGCCCTGGTCGCTCTCTGGAATGGGGAGATGACTAGGGCAATAGACACGATCGCTCCAGAACGTCCCCTCTCAAGTAGCCGAGCTAAACCAGCCCCTTGGTTTACCGAGGAGTTGGCAGAGTTGAAGCGAAAGAAGAGGGAACTAGAGAGCGTGTGGCGTTCGGATCCGAGCGAGCCAAACCGAACACGGTTTGTGTCCTTTTTAAGGGCATATGCCGCGGCAATAAAGGTCGCAAAGAAAGTCTTCTTTGCGGCCACTATTGCGTCTGCAAAGAACCGTCCGGCTGAACTGTTCCGAGTTGTCAGAGGCTTATTAAAACCCACCACTCAGGATGGGTGCCCTGATGACTCGGCAGCTCGCTGCGAAGCTTTTGCTCGGTTCTTCGCAGACAAAGTCGCTTTGATCCGCTCTGGACTGGATACCATATTAACGGCAGTATCTGAGGATGTAACACAAGCATCTGCTTGTCCGGTTTTGATGGATTCATTTCAATTGGTTCAATCCGAGGATGTGGACAAGGTGCTTGGAGGAATGAGAGCTACCACATGCATCCTAGACCCCTGCCCATCCTGGCTTCTAAAGGAGGCCAGAGGGGGTTTGGCCGAGTGGGTGAAGGTGGTGGTGAATGCCTCCCTTCGGGAAGGCAAAATTCCAGCCAGCTTAAAGCAAGCTGTAATAAAACCGCTGTTGAAGAAGCCATCACTAGACCCCACTCAATTCGTCAACTTTCGGCCTGTTTCCAATCTCCCCTTTTTGGGCAAAGTCATGGAACGTGTGGTGGCCTCACAACTCCAGGCATTCTTGGTAGACACGGATTATCTGGATCCGGCACAGTCTGGCTTTAGGCCGGGGCATGGTACCGAGACAGCCTTGGTCGCCTTAGTGGATGATCTGCGTCGGGAGCTCGACAGGGGGAGTGTGTCTGTTGGTGCTGCTCGACCTCTCAGCGGCCTTCGATACCGTCGACCACGGTATCCTTCTGGGACGCCTCGCGGGGATGGGTCTTGGAGGTACTGTTTGCAGTGGCTCCGCTCATTCCTCGAGGGTCGGTCCCAGATGGTGTTATTGGGAGACTCCTGTTCAACCCCACAACCTTTGTCTTGTGGGGTTCCTCAGGGTTCAATACTGTCCCCCATGTTGTTTAACATCTACATGAAGCCGCTGGGCGAGATCATCCGGAGTTTCGGGGTGCGGTGTCATCTGTACGCAGAAGATGTCCAACTCTGTCACTCCTTCCCACCTGCTACTAAGGAGGCTGTCGAGGTCCTGAACCGGTGCTTGGCCGCTGTAATGGTCTGGATGGGGCGAACAAATTGAAATTGAATCCAGACAAGACAGAGGTACTCCTGGTTAGTCGCAAGGCCGAACAGGGTATTGGATTACAGCCTGTGTTGGATGGGGTCGCACTCCCCCTGAAGACACAGGTTCGCAGCTTGGGGGTGATCCTGGACTCATCGCTGAGCCTGGAACCCCAGGTTTCGGCGGTGACCAGGGGAGCCTTCGCACAGTTAAAACTTGTGCGCCAACTGCGACCGTACCTTGGGAAGTCTGACTTAGCCACGGTAGTCCATGCTCTGGTTACATCCCACCTTGATTACTGCAACGCTCTCTACATGGGGTTGCCTTTGAAGACAGTCCGGAAGCTCCAATTAGTCCAACGGGCGGCAGCCATGATACTAACAGGAGCGGCACTCAGGGAGCACAC